TTGGAGGTGGAGGAGTACGAATGGGAGGCCTGGTGGTTGGTGGTAGAGTTGGTCGGCGAGTCGTCACTGGAGGCTGTGGTTTATTTGTCACTGGTGGCGCAGTAGTGCGCGTCGGCAAAACAAATGGCACATCTGGTACAGGATACGAGTATCCCTCTACAGCACGAGCCTTACGCTGAAATTGATCAATTGTTCTATGAATGATCTGCACTGTAGTTCGGTTAGATTTCTCTGTACTTACCACATGCGTGTCAGCCGATGCGGTGGCAAAAGCCACAGCGCAGAGCGCCAAGACAAAAAGTGCACTTCTCTGTGGAAGAGCGAAACAGAAATAAATCGAGTTAGTACGGATGGCTTCAAGAAGATGTTCAAATGGAGTTACTTGGCTGACACCTGAGCTAAGTACCTTAACGAATTGTTGTCTAATACTTGGTACTAAAGTGATTTGCTCTAGGTCTAAATACAAGGCAACACTGTTAATGCATAGACAGCAACGTTTAACGGCACAAAAGTCGTTTGTTAAAGTTCAGACGATGTCTGCCATTTGCATATAACAACAACATCAACAACAGCAACAACAACAACAAATAACTGGCAATTACAATAAAGATGTTAGCGTGTAGAGTCGAAGGCATTCAACTTTGACATCATCTCTAGGTCACGGTAGCGATCCGAAACCTAGCCAAACTCGATTATGCTCTCAAATCTCTGATCCTCAAACCAATTAAAACCACGAAAATCACAATGAAAAGCAAAACGACAAAATACAGATGAGATAATTAATTGACTTTGGAGACAAGATGTCTGACCACAAAAAAAACAAACAAATTAAAATAAATAAAAATGAATAAATGAATAAAATAAAATCAGCATAGATTAAACCTTCTTCCGTGGCTGTCAACGAATCTAATGTCTTATAATTAGCATATTATGCGATCTGGGCAAGGTCGCCAACGGAGAACGTTAACGAAAGTGGTAAATGGCTATGAGTGCAATTAATTTGCGGACATCTCAAAATCACTGACAATTTCTTGATAACTAATGTCCGTGCGGTTGCCATCTACAGAAATAGCTAATTATGCTATAAACCAGCTGCGCTAGTCAGCGAACAAAAATTCTGGCTGACAAGTTCTTTTTTTTGTTTGCTTTGCGTTTTTTTTTTTTGTTTATTGGAGACTACGCGATTATATAACAATAATCTGCGATCGGCCATTAATAAAGTGAGAAAAGCTGAAGTCGTCGCTAAAACCAAATTAGCATACGCACTAATCATTGATCGTCGCCATAAAACTGAGGCCGTATGCCCAAATTCCTACAACAAAAGAATCTTTTCTATACAAGCATATATAATATAAATAGGTATATCTAAATTCGTATGTATTCTAGTCGAAAGTTTGAGCTATCGTCAGATCTTTAAAAAGACAGCAATCACAATTCATAGCATATTGAAATGTAAATGAATTTGAAATTTTGGTTGTTAATGAACTTGAAATTTAATCGAGATAGTCTAAACCCGTTTTATATACAATTGCTTGAATCGTGTAGATGCTCAACTTGGGGCTTAGTTAACACCTCGAAGCTGGAAAGTGAAACAATATCAAAGAAACATCCGCTTCCAGTTTTTGTTGTTGTTGTTGTTTTTTTTTTTTTCATAAAAAGCCTAATGAAGTGATGTTAACTCTAATATTAAGAACTTAAAGACCTGTTAGTCTTCTAGACTTTGAAAAAACAAAAAAGGTTTGCTTTAGCGAGACGTGCTGAGTCCTTATGTCATATTAGGTTTTCTTCATTTGGATTTTCATTTGACTGTAATTTAATATGCTAATTTATGGTTAATTAATTTGTTTTACAACCGATCTGACCTTGCGTTCATATCGGAAACGTCAATGACGACGCTCATTTGGGTCAAGCCATCAACGAAAGTGAGCGAATGCTACACGTTTCCATTAACGAAGATTTTTCGGATGATTTATGTAAAGTGGCTTGAGTGATTTTCAAATTGGAAAAACACGAACCACTTCTGATTGATTTGAAAATTAAATAAATAAAGTTAAGCACAAACAAAATAAAGGACAAAGGTTATATTTTTACCCGTCTAGATATAAATGGAATTTTAATATACAATTCTTGAATATTCTTTTTGCTTTGATTTATTTTTTAACTGCATCAGCACTAATTGCTCTTCAATATATCATCGTTATGGGTTTTAAGCCCCCTTAATCTGCCTTTGGCACTTTGTTTCAATCGCGTCTTTGATCTTTTGCCGTACATCTGAATGTTGCAATCGAATGACTTAGGCAACGAACTTGATGCAGTTGATTAACCGATCGACGCTGATCATCTCTCAATGGCACAGCCAAGAATTTTACATCGAGCTATAACTAAAGGCAACACTTAATGGTCATTTGCCTAAATATGCCAATTCAAATGTCAATCCATGAAATGTATGGATAATTAGCAAACGATGCAAACAAGTTTTCATCTCATTCGCTGCGTTGACATAGAAACCCTGGCCAAAACGATGCCAGCCAGAGCTTCTGCTGCCAACTGAAAGTCATGTTAATGATTAAAGACGCAATTGCTGACAGCTGAGCTAGCCTGGCCTAATGCCACACGGTGCAGACCACGGTCACGTTGCTCTATCCACGTGGGCGCAATGGGCGTATGCGTAATATGGCTAAAGATATTGCCGTTCGCTCACTAGCACTGGCACAATGTGGCCCAACCGGACGTGTAATTACGATTAAATACATAAACTCTAAATGTCACTTGGGTCGTAAGACAAACAGAGCTCTGCACCTGCTCTGCCTCGTTATACATACAAATTTATATAGAGTGTATTGTATATAGAGTATATAGTAAAGGCAAAGTACGAATAATTGATTTTTGTGGTTCCTTTGCTTGTCTTTTCTTTCTTCTCGCTTTTAGCAACACTTCTTTTTGAGCACTTTTCATCACGATTGTCTTTTATTTGCAATACAGATCGGAACTGGGTTTAGTTACCATATTGAGCACTTTTAACTGCAACGGACGGCAGCCAGAAAACGTTTATATATATTTTTTTATACAGAGAATATATATCCCGACAGTTTATTGTGTTTCGTGTATAATCCTTGAGTGTGTCGATCGTATCAAAATTCAATGGTCAATTGAATTTTGGATCGATGCCGAGCAAAAAAATTGCCTCAACTTCTGGGTCGACTCTGGGCTAGCAACTAAAGCATCAAAACTTGTGGATTCTCTACTTATATATACTCGGGGCGTCAGATCCAACGCTGTCGCAGTTACTGCGGCTGCTTCTGCTTCAGCTTCTGCTGCGGCGACGACGACGTCGACTTGGGCGACAGCTGTTAACACTCGCAGCGAGTGAAGATGCTGCCAACAAAGACGCTGACGCCAACAACTGACCAACCCGTTGCCAGTTTTCGGCCAGGTATTCGAGCGCGAGCCTCAGTCGCTCGGCAGCTGCGCAGTCGCAGTGGCGAGTGCTGCTCTTGATGCTATTGTTGTTGGCTTTTAACAGTCGCATAACATAGCTAAACGCACTAAAACAAAATAATCATAGTTTATTAAATTTTAAAATATGCAAATCAATAAAAATAGAAAAAATCACAGCAGCAGCACCTGAGACAATGCCTCGAAATTTTGTTGCTCTTTTATTGACTTTTCTATTTAGCTACTTTTATTTGTGCAAATATATTAGAAGACTATTGACTGGGTCTAAGCCCAGACTAATTCCTCAGCTTGAACTCTTTTTTTTTTTTTTTCTTCTTCTCTATTTTGATTTAAGTTTCTTTAGTTTTTTTTTTTTTTTTTCTGGCTGTTGTTGTTGTTGCTCGCTTTGAGTGATTTGAACGCCCCTGGATAATGTGGTCGCCGTGTGTTAAACATATTGTCATGCCAAGTCTAATTTGTAAACGAGATTAACATTCGAAGACGAAGATGTTGTAATTTTGGCAATCGCTTTCAAGGCTTCAATCGATGCGAAGCAATGGGCAAATACCTATTTAGTTGAGTTGCAAATGAAATTAGCTGATGCTGCTGCTGCTGCATTCCATGCAGGCGTTGTCTATGTGCAAACATGGCCAGGCATGGCTCGCAGAGATTACAGCTGTTTGTGGCTGAGATTAGGCCTAAAGCAACAGAGATGAAGATGAACCGGTTGCTGATGCTGATGCTGGTGCTGTTGATGCTGATGCCGATGCTGCTGGTGCGTATGGCGGGTCAGTCGTGTCGTCCAACTTTGGAATTGAGCTCTGAATGTTAAGGTAGGCGCACACACAGACGCTGCAGCCCCAATAACCAAATGACCTTTAAACGCAAAATGAAAAAAAAAAAAAAATAAAAATTAAAAACATAAAACAACAACAACAACATGAACACACACACACACGCGACAATCGCCCGTACACATTTAGTTTTTTTAAACAGAAAAGATGCAACCAGATGGAGATGGAGATGCAGAGATGCGAATGCGAGATATGCGAGTGCCAGAGCCAGTGCAACTGAAGCCATTGGCGCATCATTTTTGCGCGTCCGAGCGGCTGACAGCAGCAGTCGAAGCAGCAGCAGCCAAACGGGTTTCCAATTCTCTTCTTCTTATTTTCATTATTAATTTAAGCTGCATTTATTAATTTGTGATGCCCAAAACATGCTCAAGTGGCAGTCACGCCAAAGTGTCGTTAAAACGTCTCCGAGCTGAACCATTTTGGCTGCTGCCCACGCGACAACAGCTACAGAAAGACACTCGAAGCCCATCGAAAGCTGAAACTGATGCTCATTGAGCTGACGACGGCTTTGCATATTTCAAATATTTGTCGCTTGTCGCGCATCTAGATCACTTTTTCATGAATGAGGTGCTAAACGGGACAACAATTGGCGTTTGATCTGTGTGTGGACAAGTGAGTAAATACACTTGTCGACAGCCAGCGAGAGCAGATAAAGATTCAAGCAAATCACAATCATTGAGAGCGACTGTAACTTGTTAATACACAAAATATTCTTCGATTCGATTATCGTGGCACACTGAACAAAAATTGATTGAGTTAAGGAAGATTATTGGATGCTAACATGAGGAATCTGGAGGAAGTGCAAAGAAGAAGAGATGATGCAGGGTTTAAAGAGAGCGGGTTAAAGAGAAAGGCCTAAAACAAAAGAGTAAGAACAGAGAAAATATGAAATAGTCTAGAAGGATTCCAAGAGGAAAGAATGGGATAAATAAAGGTGGGAAGGGAAGGAAAAACGCAAATTGAAGAGTAAGGAAAGCTGAAAAATGAGACAACTGCTGAGTGCGAAATGATGAGGGAAGATGGAGGTAAGCAGCAGGCAGACAGAAGAGATAAGACGTTAAGCCAAAGAGTGAAGAGGGGGAAAAAGAACCAAGAAAAGCGAGAGGGACTAACTAACGACTCGAACCACTGCTTTTGCATTTTAATAGATGTGCTCAACAGCTAAAAATAGTAATGTTTTAAGTTTGCGTGTTCGTTCTTCCGTCTGCAAATTGATTTGCAAATAGCCATGTTATGCAGGCAGTTAACTATTTGTCAATAGATTCGCAGCCAGAAATTCGCTCAGTGTACACGCTGCTTGTTCGAATGACATTATTAAAAGCTGTTTATATCTATCTGCCAAAGTGGCTATCAGCGATGTGTGTTAGCAGTCGTAATTGCGTGCTGCAAAGTGAGTGCTATGCAATGGCGGGGGCCATTAAATGCTCCTAAATGAGGCAGACTCGTAAACAGTTTGGCTTTAGGAAGTCACCCCAAGAAGCTAATTGCTTGGATGACCGTCACAAGCACACACTTATGCATCCGCCTATTAGATATTCTTTTTTTATGGGGAAACCTCCACCTAGACGGAGATCAGATGGCCAGATGAACGATGCTGTGCGACCATTCGGGTCGCAACTTGCTTTGCACAGAGGCAATGACATCGACTGACATTTTCGAGAAGTCATTGTGACAAGAAAATAATAGTAATAAAAAAAACTAAATTTTAATTCAGAAAAATCATGCCAAAAACTTGATAGAGGAAAGAAAACTTTTTCAGCGGCATCATGGCTGCTTGCAACATGTGCCTGTTGCTATGATGAAACGAAATTAAAGCTTGAGTGTTATCCAACTGCGATGTAAAGATGCAAATGAGCGAAGAACGTGCCAATACTCTGCTTTTTCGGTATTTGATTGATCAAACAGAGAGTGTCTGTGTGTGTGTGTGTGTGTGTGTGTGTGCGTGTGTGCGCATAAAATTGATTAAAATTAATTACAAAACTGGCTTGTCAAATTAACGCACCCGATGTCCATGACATGGGCCAAAGCCAGATGTATCGACAGCGACGTCTAACCAGATTCTAGACAATGTTTTATATATTATAAAATGTACAATATATATACATGTATAGTTATGCTATTTATGTATGTATGTGTATAAATTAGCAAATTTTTTTTTTGTGGTTTTTACGGAAATAAAATGTAAATTTTGTTGTTAGCCAAAATATCGCGTTTAATTTAAAGCAAGTTTACACATTTAAGTCCATGCCTCAATCTTTCATTTTAGGTGTTAATTAATGGCAAGGAAGAAATGTATCATTATCTGTCTATGCGTAATTAAAGAGTCTCACGCACAGCTCTTTAAAATTATAATCAAAGCCATTCATTATACGGCCTATAGCATAAATATTGTGGCACAGCGCTGACTAGAATAGGCTTTGCGATTTCTCATATTGCTCTTTCAGATGATTCGCCAGCTATGTATATATTATAAATTGGCGGATCTAATAAAATAAACATCGTAAAAAGAACAAAAAGCAGACATGTATTTACCCATGCACATACATACATACACATATACTAGCCAAATGTCAGAATGTGTTGCGCAGCTATAGAGAATACAACTTTTTGGACATTTTAAATTGTGCTTATGATTTATGCAAATTTATCCTTTATACAAATATATGTGTATACATATATGTATATGCGTAGGTATTTATGTATGTGATCACATCTACATACTAGTCAAGGCAGAGCAAATTTTATTACTTGTCAAGCTGCTTTAGATTTATACTTTATACTTATGTAAATGAGCCAGCCGACTATCAGACAGACCCAACCAGACTCGACCAACTAGTTCGGTTTCAGATTTAAGTTATTTGTTATAATTTATGTTGCAATTTTGGCTATTTTCGAGTTTAAGGAAGTTCACGGTAAATTGAAATAGAACTGATAAGGTGTGGGATATATTCGGAATCAGGAGAACAAAGCTCGCTTCTGCTCTTTTGTTTACCAAAATATGGAAAAATCTCGAATTTACTCAATTTCTATGCTAAATATAAATAATATAAATTAGGTTTCCGAGAATATATATTTATTAGAAGCATGCAGGCAGTGTTGCCAGCTTAGACTATTTTGATTTTATTTGATAATAAATCCACCAAAAAGGAGTATGGAATGGAATAGCATAATAAGAGAATGCATAAGAGAATTATAGAATAGTAATAATAATAATATAATAAATATTAGTGTACAAAAGCTAGTTAGCATAGCAGCATTTAGGCTTATCAAGCATATAAGCAGCTAGTCCGATTGAACTATGCGCATTTGTTTGCATATGTATGTGAGCGAATGCCTGCATTCAGTCTCTCCTTCTGTCTCTCCGTCTAGCTCACAGACTGTCTCTACTCACGAAGTAAAACGACGCTAGAATGCTTAGAGCAGCAGAGAGCGCTCCCATTGGCTACTTAAGGCCCGACTACAACGACCCCTAGCTCACTCCAGGCGCAACATTTGAGCACGAGTTGGTGACTGAGCGAAAGTGGCCCTATATAAAGGGCAGCAGCTGCAGCATTTCTTCAGTCGTCCAGGCCTGCTGGGGGTCACTAGATCAGTGCAGTAAAGTGAAGTGATGTGCGTAAGGACTTATAGGAAATTCTTAAAGGAAATTCATAGAGAGAATTCTTAGAGGAAATTCTTAGAGGAAATTCTCGGAGGAAATACTTTGAAGAAATGTTTAGCAGAAATACTGAGAGGAAATACCAAGAGAAAATACTAAGAGAAAATACTTAATAAATACTACACGTTGTGTGCCAAATTATTAAATTTAATTTTTTATTTTATTATTTTTAAGAGCACTAGAAATAATTTGTTATATATATTTACTTTTTTTTTTTTTTTTTTTTTTTGTATATTTTCTTCCATTTGGCCTCTTGCCGGCTTTTCCAGCAGTTCTTCCTGAAAC